CTATTTATAGTTTTTACTATTTTTGTATAAACTGGCAAAACTTTTGAAAAAAATCAAATAATTCCTACTTATTCAATTTTCACTTAATTTCAATTTCAGTTAACTAAAAACACAATAATTATGATTCAATACTTGATAAAAACATCAACAGTCAAAAAACAAAAATATTCAGTAGATAAATGTTAAGGAACGTTTGGTTTTCTAAAACAATGAGTCATGTATTAAAACTTATTGACTAACTAGATGTCACACTGTTCTACATTGTTTAACTCATTCAATACTAAAAAACCTCAAAGATGCTATTTCTTAAATTTAATAAATGAATAAAATGAAGCACAGAGAACAAGAAACTTGGCTGAACATCACACAGCTGCTTAGAGATGAAGCTGGTATTCAGAACCAGCATTCTCCATACCATGAACTCTACATAACAGGAGCCCTGGTGGCACAGTCATTAAAGCACTCAGCTGAGCACCAAAAGGTTGGCAGTTTGAACTCACCAACCTCTCTGTGGGAGAATAAACCAGTGATCTGCTCCAGTAAAGACTCCAAAATACCAAACTCACTGTTACGGGGTCAATTCAGACTCACAGTGACCCCCACTGGATTTCGAAGGCTGTAAATCTTTATAGAAGCATACCACCTCATCTTCTGTGGAGCAGCTGGTGGGTTCAAACCACCACGTTTTTTGGTGAATAGTCAAACGCTGACTATACCACGACACCACCAGAGCCCCCTTCCAGTAAAGACTACTGCCCAGTTCTATGCTATCCTATAGGGTCACAATGAATCATTATCAACTCACTGATAGTGAGTTGATTTGGGTATGTAAAACCATTACATATTTTAAATATCTAAATGTCAACCTCATTACCTACACTGATACCTACCTTAAATAAGGTGGTGGTGGGGGACCGACAAAAATGGAAAATAATCCAAAATTTGTTTTTAGACTGATAATACATCTTTTTAGACTTTCTAGAGCACATCATTTTACTTTTTCCTAGCACTATAATTACATAATTACCCTTCTAAATGACCCCATGTTGAAAAATCAGAAAAGTACACTAAAAAAAAGTCAATCCATAAGGAAACTATTGTGGCTGCATCTTATCTATCATGTCTCACGACTGCTACCAGGATGCAAACTGAAATTACTAAAAAGCAATGAAAATCTCAAACCACCTAAGTAATACATCCAATAATACATTACTATAATGGAACTCTATGCAGCCATGAAAAATGTTGCAAGAGATTACCAAGAAAGTGCTAAATCAAACTTGGGTACAATGTATTAGGTGAAAATAATACAAAGAAAAATGATCTCTTGACACATAATATATGTAACACATATAACCTGTGTTATTTGCACAGGAAAAAAATAAATAGCATAACACCAATAACGATGTGGGAAGTTTTTATTTCCTTTCTCATTTATGTTTCCTAAATTTTCTACACTAAAACATTCATTTTCTAATAGAAAAACTGATTTTTAATAGTTACAAAAACAAGACTTAACTACACTAAGCAAACACTTGACTTACTGCATGCAACTATTAAAAAGTTTTCTGGGAAATTACATTTCCTTTGCTCATCTTCTCTCATAATTCTGAAAACAATAATATTATAGAATTTTTCTAAACAAATAAAAAAAAAAGTATAACGAGCAGTAACATTTCCCAATTAAAAATGTTCTAAAAACCATGTACATTGCAGAGACAACATTTTAGACAATTCTAGTAATATTTCACGCCACTGCAACAATAACTTGTTAATTTGAGTGTTTAATTCACAATTAGGTTTTCGACAGATTTTCAGATTTACAAATTGCTGCTGTTGCTCTCAATTTTTAAAATAGAAATAGCAAAAATATTTGAATTCAGAACATGTATGTGTCTCAAAATGGTTTCCCTACTTTATAAAATTATTTTATACAACGTAAAAACATTAATGCAACCATGAACACCACCACGTACTATTTTTTCTTTTGAATAAACAATTCTCTTTGGAAATCTCTTCCCTTTTAATTTTCGTAGAACCAAACATAAACTCCGCAACGTGTAACAGTGTCAATGAAAGTAGCGTGTGGATCCAACATGTCAATTGGGGCAGGAGTGGCAAGAAAAATCCTATCTACACACAAAACGTACTTTCCACAAGCTAAAATTAGTATCCCAAAGTCCTCTACTATCCTCATCTGGAATATTTTGACAAAACAGGTGAACGATTGAAGCTATTTTAACTTAAATCTTATTCATTAGAATGTTGCCAAATAGAAGTCGTAAGACACTAGGGCCCGAATAATCTAATTAATGAATGCTGACTCCCAAACGGTCTGAAGCTTACAATAACAAAGCGGATTTAAGATTACTCAAGAAACGGCCGTTGGAGACCCTTTCCGGTCACCTGCACCGGCCGGAGAAATCCGCGGAAACCGAGAGGGGGGAGGGGAAATGCGGCGGAGGAGGAGCTGAGGGAGGAAGTAGGCCCGTCCGTAGTGGACAACCGGGCCTACAAGTCGCTAAAGCGAAAGGGGTGGCAAAGCCGAGAGAAGGACAAGCATCTAACTCGGTTCTGGTTGAAGGAGCCTGAGGTTACCTCAGAAAGGGCGAAGTTCCTCGCAGGAAAGGAAAGAACGGATGGGGGAGGGGAAGCCGGAAAATGGATCCCAGGCCCAGGCGGGGCTGTAGCGGGGCCTTAGCTGAAGAACGACAACGTCTCTGAAATAACGCGATATGAAAATCTGCATCGGGCCCCAACGGTCCCTTAGGAGCACAAGAGACTGGGAAGCATTTACCTGGAAAGTTCTTGTTGAATTTCCCGGAATTTACTGACCACGAAAGACCTAAAAATCTGCTCGATGTTGGTCGCCATGGCGTCCGCTCCGTTCTCTCAGCTCCTCCTCGCTAGTCCTCCAGGCTCCCAGCATGCCTCGGGAGGCGGCGCTGCGTCCAGTTCCGTCTCTCGCCTTCTTCATTGGCTCCTGTAACAGCGACGGTACTAGCACGCTTCACCTTGGAGCCAATCAGTGAGCACGACTCCGCTTTCCTCCGTTGTTCTGAGCGGCTGGGGTACAGCTGCTGACGTTTGCGCCGCGCACAACTATGTCCGCCATGTTAGTGTCTGACGCAGGCGCCATTACAGGAAAAACCTCTCCTGGGGGCGACTGTCTACTTAAGTAGTTGGTACCCAGCAGTGTTGTGAGGGGCCTTATAGGTATACTTAGCAACTAAATGCATGAGATTAAGTGCTATGAAGAAAGGGAGCAAAAAGCGGCAGTATGTTTTGTCACAGGCCTTTTAAGCATTCCCAAGTGGTGCCAAGTTTTCCTCAAGGAGATGCTTCTAGGAAAGAACTTGTCGGCCCCCAGCCCTATCGTGTGAATACTGAGAATACATTTTCACCCCTCTGCCTCCCGTCGCATCCTATCCTTGGCCTCAATTTCTTAGCTAAAGTCCGTAAGTTCCGCACGACTGCTTTCAAAACTTAGGATATTCTAGACTCATCAGGAGCCAGGCGTGTGGGCTTTTCACAGTAGATGGTTAGTTCAGACTCATGTTAGCAACATACAATAACTTAAACTTCTGTTTAGCATTTGGGAGCTCTCCCTCGAAGTTGAGGAGGCTGTGGAGAGCTGAGAAATTGAAAACCACCCAATTTTACAATGTTACAAATAAAGGTACAAGTGTTTCCTGTCTTTGGTCAAATACAGACTCAAGCCGCTCCCGGGGGCGGGAACCACAAAGGATTACCTAGCCTGCGCAAGGACCAAGAGCCAAGCAGACCAATGAGGAGGAAGCGCCAGACACGAGGAGGGGAGGGGCACGGGGCAGCGGCGGGTGTGCGCCGGATACTGGTTGAACGATTTCCGCCAAGCGGAACCCAGGGCTGTGAGGGCACCGCCGTGTTTGCAAGTGGGAGCAAGGGTAACTGTGTGTTGGTGCGTAATCGAGTCCCCTCTATTCTTAAATAACGCACATTTTTGCTTGGTGTGGGTGTTTAATGTCAGGAGTGAAGTAAAACTGTAGAAAATGATTTGGTTGTAGACATTTTCATCTTTATTTCTGAATATGATGAGTAGGGGTTGGCCACGTGCTTCTCACTTGGGATTAACTGGGTTTTAACATTCGATCTATCATTTTTGCTTTTTAGGATGTTAGGGCTTTACCTTTTTTGTATATTTCTGTTTTTTATGTTATACACTTAAGTCGATGTACCCATTTTACCATGTTTTCTTGTTATATACCTATTGTCTCCAGCAGATTACTAAGTCCACTTTTGTCATTGATTTCTGTTATTATTAAATGAATCTTTTGAAATAGCTTATCTGGCTCTCTTGTGCTCATTAAAAATTATTGACTTAAGATATGAGGCAACTAGGATCTCTGGTAGCATAGTGCCTAAGGCACTTGACTGCTAACCAGAAGGCTGGCGGTACAAACCCACCAGCCACTCCTTGGAAGGAAGATGGGGAGATGGGGCAATCTACTTCCGTAGTGATACTGCCTCGAAACCCAAGGAGGGGTCGCTATGAGTCGGTCAGACGCCATGGCATATAACAACAACAACATGAGGCAACTGAGGCCCAAGGATAGTTAAGTTGCTCAAGGACTCCTGGCTGATAAGTGGTGGAGTCTCAACCCAAACCCAGGCAGTCTGGCTCTGGAGCTGTGACTGCTAACCTCCCTGGTGCAGCTAGCTTCCAACTAGGTAACCCTGTTTCAGTGATAAACTAATGAAAAAAATATTCCTTCACTGCTCCTCTTACTCCAGGTAAACGCATTATTTTATTTAGATTTAAACATATGTTTCTTTCAGATATTTTAGTACATGTGCCTTCATTTGAAAATACCTATCTTATCTTTGTGAGTACAGTCATTTCTTAATTTATTAATCCTAATTTTCTATTCAAAAATGAATCATTGGGTTCATTTGCAAGTCATGATTTCTAAAAGATATATTCTAAAAAGCAACTGTGTTTTTTCTCTCTGCAGACAACAATGGGAACCCGAGTGCTTGTAATTGGCAGTGGAGCAAGGGAACATGCTCTGGCCTGGAAACTTGCACAGTCTAATCATGTAAAAGAAGTGTTGGTTGCTCCAGGAAATGCCGGCACTGCCTGCTTTGAAAAGATTTCAAATGCTGGTAATTGTTTTAACATAGGGAATAGTAGTTATTATTCATGGTAAAGTGTCAACCACTTCTGTCCTATATAATACAAAGGAAAGATTGCTATGATTTTGTCAACCTTGAAATTTACATAGTAATTTGAATACTTGGATATGTAGTAAACTTAAGGCATCCTACTCTTCTGAATATGGCAATTTTTTCTCAAAGTATTTTAAACCTGTAACTGATAAAATACATGAAGAAAATAACAAGTACCTAATAAAGGTTAGAGGCATTTTGATGTCTGTTTTTGGAAATGAAAGTTGAATAGTGTTCTCAAAATAAGAATCCTGGCAATTCTAACTCTGTAATATATAGAGATTTCAACTGTTATCTCTTCCACTGATGTTTAAAAAAAAAAAAAAGTCACTTTATTCACTACACACACACTACATTAAACTCTTCAGTGGCTTCCCATGGCAATTAGAATAAAATCCAAACTTTTTATCTTACAAAGCCCTTTGTGATCTGGCTTCCTCATGCTTTTCCAATGTGATCTTTTTGGGTGAAAGTTTGCAGAACAAATTCACTTTCCATGCAGCAGTTCACATACATTTTGTCTCATGATATTGACTACAATTTATCCCAATGCAACAGCTCCCCTTCCACTTCCTCCCAATAGTTACCTCTTCCCAGTGTCAATTCCTCCATGTACTCCTGCCCCCTGAGCTGTCTTCCTGTATATAAACAGCCCTTCTTTCTCCCATGATTGTTCTAAGAAGTGTATCTATCTGAGGTAAATGTTCAACTCATATGCCTGTCTTTTGTTTGGCTTGAAGCCACAGGTGTGTGTTCAATTCCAGACCTGAAGGGCAGCTAGGGGCCATAGTTTCAGTTGTTCCACTAGCCTCTATCACACCAGCAAACCTGGTCCCTCCTGGTTTTTGTTTGTGGGTGGGTTTTTTTTTTTTTTTTGATGAATGATTTTGAGTTTTGTTCCACATTGTTCACCCCCTCTATCTAGGATCTCCTACATGGATCCCCCTCCAACTGGTTGACAGTGGTAGCTGGGCACCATCTAGTTCTTCTGGTCTCATAGTTGTATAGGCTGCGGATTGTGTGGTGTACCAGTCACTAGGACTAATTGTTTCCATGAATCTTTGGTTTTCTTCATTCTTCTTTGCTCTGGACAAAGAGAGACCCATCAATGCATCTAAATGGCTGCTTGCAAGCTTTTAAGATCCCAGTTGCTACTCGCCAAAGTAGGTGGTGGAACAGTGTGTTACGTAGTATGTTATGCCAATTAAGCTTGATGTCCCCTGCGACTGTGGTCCCAAGCCCACCAGTTTAACTACTTGGTCCCTCTGGGTAGCTGGCTGTGACCAAGAAATGACTACAACCTTGTCCCTTGTCAGCTCTACTATACACCTGGGAATTCAGATCATACAAATAAACTTCTAGGACCATTGTCTGCCAACCCTACACATACATGGTCTCGGTATACTCCCTGCTTCATAGACATACCTTATAGGTTAGCCTGTCCACCCATCTATACACCCGTATACCCATGTTTGCCTTCACTGACAATGCAATACTGTATGTGCAAAAGGGTTCATCTTTGTTGTCTGTACCTCCATGTACCTCTCTATGTCTTCCTCTTCCTCAGTGCCACCATGTTGGTCACTCACATTGGATACATTGCCCTTCTCCTCACCCAAATCAATACTTACCTCTACTTATCTGTTTTGTTTTTTATATCCCTTTTTTTTCTTTTCTTTGTGCTTCGTCCTTGCTGTCCTGCCAGTTTTCCAAACAAAGCTGGCTTAGATTTAGCATTTGTTGTCACCCACTGGTTTGCTTGACTTCTGATCATTCATGCCTCAACTTAAATTTTACCTCTCAGAGAGACTTTCCCTTGAAGTTTCTAACCATAACGAGTTTCCATCCTCACTTAGTTTATTTTCTGTCATAATCTGTTTACTTTTGTTTTTTCTTAACCTTTCTATTGTCTGTCTCCTTTTCCTCCACTAAAATGTCAGCTACTTGAAGGCAAGCAATTAGGACTTGTCTGTCTTACTTTGCATTGTGTCTACACTGTCGTACTTTTTGGGAGAACATAGATCCAACAAGCTAAGAAGTACAAGAAGATAGTTGGATATGTTAAAAATTAAAAAAAAAAAAAACTACCATTAAGTCGATTCCGACTCATACCGACCCCCATTGGGTTTATGAGGCATTAATCTTTATGGAAGTAGATTGCTCCATTTTCCTTCAGCAGAGCGGTTGGTGGGTTTAAACTGCCAACCTTCTGCATAGTGGCACTGCACCACCAGAGCTCTTAGTTGTATGCATAAAACCAAAAATAATAAGAAAAAGACAAATAAGAAAATATCTGCTTTTCTGGGTTATTAGCTCTTAGTGTGAGGTGTTATATCTGTTCACTAAAGAACTGGTATGCTCTATTTAGATGTAATTGAGATTTTCATGCTGCCCATCAAAATCTCCCAGGATTGTCCTGAGGCAGCTACCAAGGTTAGGTATGTACTCTTGGATTTTCTGCACTAATGCTGATGTACTCAGCACAGTTATATGTGGAGCTATTAACACAAGGTACGTGGTACTCTATCCCTACCTCAGGCAGACGATTCCTGTAGATTAAGAACTTACTATTATTCCTGGAAATGTACCTTACCTATCACAAATCCTATATCTTGTGCCCTGTAACTGTACAGAGTGATTCAAGATTTCAGCCAGTTCAGGAGTGGTAGTTCAGATGTAGTGAAGCAGGAGAGCACCCATGGGACTTAAGCTCAGTATGTGGCTGATGCTACTGCTGATTACTTAGAACCCCATCAGAAAAGAAAATATACCTGGTATGTAGGTTGGAGATGGGAGCTCTGATGGTGTAGTGGTGAAGGCATTCAGCTGCTAACCAAAAGATTAGTGGCTTGAGCCTGCCAGCGGATCTGTAGAATAAAGATGAGGCTGTCTGCTTCCATAAAGATGTACAGCCTTAGAAACATAGGTCAATTCAACTCTTGTATAGGATTGCTATGAGTCAATCTACTAGACAGTGGGTTTGGTTTGATAAGTTTGGAGTGGAGAGCTAGGCCTTACCTAAAATCATTATTTGGTTCTTAGCTTTAACATCATTACCTCAGAGAGGACCAAAGTGACTCAATTAAAAATAGCCTCTGAATTCACTTCATACTACATTTGCTTAATGAGTTCACACCTGGTAGTTTCTCATTTGGATATTTATTCAACTTTCCCACAGTGGAATGCAAACTTATTAAGTGTGGGTACCTTATTGGTATTAATATCTTAACCTCAATGCCTAGGGTAGTACCTGCAAAATGTTTGTTAGTTGCCATCGAGTTGTCCTGCAATTAATGGCTATACCATGCATGATGGGACAAAAGGTCTTGTGCCATCTCCAAGATCAGATCCATGGGGTTTTCACTGGGTGATTTTCAGAAGTTGTTTGCCAGGCACACATGTTGTATGCCATCAAGTCTGTTCCAACTCAGTGGCACTATACAACACAGTACAACTGACCCATAGGATTTCCTGGACTGTATTACTTAGGGAGCAGGTTGCCAGATCTTTTCTCCTTATAAAATGGTGGAGTTTGAAATGCCAACCTTTCAGTTGGGTGCCAAGCACTTAACCATTGCATAGTCATGACTTCTACTTAACACATGGTGGGGTCTTAAATAATCTTAATTAAATGACATGAAAAGACCAGTCCTGGGTACATTCTGTGATGTACTTTCTGTTTACTGTGCAGTCAGCACTGGTGACATGAACAGCATAGTTAAGAGATTATGGCTCTTTCTTATGTTAACAGGTACTTTCCTCAAGCTAGCTACAGTGATGGCAGAAAGTTGAGCTTTTTTGCTTAGCCTAATGCTCTCTATTCTGAATTTCTCGTGATGAAACTATGTAACAGTAAAACCAACAGTTAACAGGCATACCAAATTACAGTACTGAATTTTTAGCTTTACACTTAGTTAACTTAAAAAATGTTTGTGAATGACTTGGGTTGTTTTGTTTCCTTGACAGCTATCTCAATCAGCGATCACATTGTCCTTGCTCAATTCTGTAAAGATGAGAAAATTGAATTTGTAGTTGTTGGACCAGAGGCACCTCTGGCTGCTGGTAAAGTTCATTTTTGTTTGTTACAGTATGTGCAGTACCGACAGAAGATTAAAGATCATTTAATCTGATTCAGTTTTTTAGATGTTTGGTTTGGTTGGTATGTGATGAGAGCTTCTAATATAATGTACCATTGAAAAGAAATTTCACCCTTCTGAAATTTATGCATTCTAGATTATTTTTCTAACACAATAATGTGATGAATGCAAGATCAGATTTGTGACCATAGGAAAAGTTGTGTGTGTGCTCTTATCTCCTGAATTTTACCACCTTTGAATAACTATAACATAGGTATAAGGTAGAAAAAGTTGACTGGGTTCAGTCCTTAGTTTCATCCTGTTTTATTCTGATGCCCATTTAACAATCCATATAATTGAATGTAACATAACATTAGGATTTGAATCATGTTAGTAACATTTTTGTTTACATTTTGTAGATAACTTGAAAACAGTTATTCTCTGTCACCAGTCATCTGCTTTGTCTAGCTGAGCCTTGAAATGGAGATTTAGTCTAATCCTAATTCATCTTCAGTGTGAAAAGCCCCTGGAGAGGCCTTGGTTCATTTAAGACTCCTTGTTTCCTCAATAGGAATTGTTGGGAACTTGACATCTGCAGGTGTGCGATGCTTTGGCCCTACCGCAGAAGCAGCTCAGTTAGAGGCCAGCAAAAGGTTTGCCAAAGAGTTTATGGATCGACACGGAATCCCCACTGCAAAATGGAGAGCATTCACCAAACCTGAAGAGGCCTGCAGCTTCATCGTGAGGTAGATGAAAGGCTGCCTAGGAAAGGGCAATTGTTTTATCATATTTAAATAACAGTTCATCTGGGTCCTTAACCTAAGTCATAGTTTTATAGGAAAATGATTATGGGGGGCAGGGGGATACACAATAAATACTAGGTAGGTTGTCTTTTCCAACATCAAAATAAAATGGAATTCTATACACCTGTATTATTTATATGATTTTGTGACCTTGCAGATAGATAATTTTATATATAGATAACTTTATATATATATATGTATGTATGTATATATATATGTATTGCTACTGAGTAGTTCCTAAGGGAAAGAAGGTACTTTTAATTCTGCAGTTGTGTCCTCTTTTCACAACCAAATCAACAATCACAGTGACATTTTATCATAAATAATAAACCAGAGTGAAGAATTACCATGTCATCTTTGGTTACCACCACATCAGTTTGAAATCTTTAAAATCCTTTGTTCTCTACAATAGACTCAAAAACTCTAAATCCTTTTTTAAAAAAAGGACCACATTTGCTAGTCTGATAGAGCTTGATGGAACCACTCAGACTATGGCCCCTAGTTGCCCTTCAGGTCTGGAATTGAACCCACTCCTGTGGCTTCCAGCCAAACAAAAGACAGGTATATGAGCTGAACGTTTACATTAGGTAGATACACTCCTTGGAGAGGTCAATCATGGGAGAATAGAAGGGCTCTGTATGCATAAGGAGACAGCTTGCAGGGCAGGAGTGCATCAGAGGAAAGGATACAGGGAAGAGGTAACTATGGGGAAGAAGTAGGAGAGGAACTGTTACATTGTGGTAAATTGTAATCAATGTCATGAGACAAAGTGTATGTGAGCTGCTGTATGGAAAGTGAATTTGCTCTGTAGACTTTCACCCAAATCACAATAAAAATTTAAAAAAAAAAAACACCTTTGTTCTCTAATGTGGAAAACATTGCACAGTTAGTGAATGTTAGCAGGCACATGTTTTTGCTGACACTGCTCCCTGATATTTGTAGTTTGTTTTGTGTGGTATTTTTTTGTTTGTTTATTTTTCATTTGTATCAATTTCATTCCTTACATTGATTCTATAGGTTTCTTAGATACTGACTATGATCATTTAGTAGTAGTAGCTAGATGCCCTAGGTAAGTAACAGTTTTGTTAACTGGGATAAGTCCATATCCCCAGTCCCAGTCAAAGAAGAAACTGCTGACAGCAGGTTGTTCTGTTTGTTTGTTTGTCTTTTAATGTGGACTCTCAGAAATGGTCTGCTTCTGCATCCTCTAATTTGTCTTGCTATCTAGTAGCATGGTACCTAAGGCATTTGACTGCTAACCAGAAGGCTGGTGGTTCAAACCCACCAGCCACTCCTCGGAAGGAAGACTGGGCAATCTACTTCCATAGTGATACAGACTCGGAAACCCAAGGAGGGGTCCTTGTGAGTCGGATCCGACTTGACAGCAGTGAGTTTTTATCATAGCCAAATCTTCTAAGTGAATATGAATAGGATTGACTACTTTGTATTGTAAAGATCTTTCCATGTCCACTCGCTACATCTGTCTGTATTCTTCTTACAGAGATTTTTTTTCATCAGCAGAAAGAATCTGTGCGATGTCATAATAAGTGAGAAAAGGAAAATTGAATGTTATACTTGCAGCTATAAGAAATTGCATAGGAAAAAAATCCTCTTAGGAAGGTGCATCAGAATTGCAATATGCAACTGTTGTTGCTGTAGCCTATCATTACAAAATCCCGAAGCATTTTAGAAATTGGAATTGTAAGGATTTGTTGGGTATTAAAGTTTAATCTGTCTTCATAGTGCAGACTTCCCAGCTTTGGTTGTGAAGGCCAGTGGTCTTGCTGCTGGGAAAGGGGTGATTGTTGCAAAGAGCAAAGAAGAGGCCTGCAAAGCTGTACAGGAGATCATGCAGGTAGGTTGATTCTTCTGGAAAGGTTTAGTTTTCTATTCACACTGGGTGAATAATTTTTTAAAAAAGTTATATGTATGTATATAACCAAATATTTGCCATTTTAGCATTTCTTATATGTACAGTTCAATGACATTAATTACATTTGTAGTGTTTTTCAACCATCACCACTGTTTCCAAATTTTTCCATCACTGTTAATAGAAGCTCAGTGTTCCCTAAATAATGAGTTGTTCCTTTTTTCCCTTCCCTCCCATCTATCCCTGGTAGCCACTTTTAAACTTCACTTTCTATATACTTGCCTATTCTAGATAATTCACAAGTAGGATTATTTGATATTTATTCTTTTGGGTAAATGCTCTAAATGTTCCTCAAGATGGGGCAAACTCATATAGCAAAGAAAGGTAATTTATTTTTCACAATGGTATATAGTATAATCCATCTCTATAAAAGACTATTATATATCTGTACTGATGGCAAAATCTGACTCAGTTCTTTAAAAGTAAGTTCTAGATCCTTTGTTATCTGCTGCTGAAAATAAAGAAAATCTTCAGACTGTAGAACATACAAGTAAATTCTGAAATTAGCCATGAGGACAAAAGTATTTGTCCTGTGTATCCCACATCTAAGAGAAGGGAAGCAATGAATTAATATACTTAGTTTTTCTTTCATGTTCCATCTTGGTTGCGGGTATTTTTTCCCTTGTACAAATTTAATTTCAGAGGCATGTGTTAGTATAATTATAGTATAATAGGCAAACATACCTAGTTACAATCAGGAGAAAAAAGATTACATGGCAATAATGAAAACATTTATTTTCCTGTTAGCTTATTTAAACTTAAAAGCCAAATCTCAGGAAAATATCAGTGATGTAGTCATTTCATCTGTGCCAATGCAAGCATTGTATCATTGCCACATTAAAAGCATGTGTTCATGTTTTCCTTTGAGGCTTTTAGAAAGGCAAGTAAGGCATATTGGTTCATGATACAGATGATACAAAATAACGGAAAGCAGCCAAGTAAATAGTAAAAGCTTAGAAATTTACTGAGCTTTTTTTGTTGTTAAAACCTACAATTAGGACAAAGCTTTTGGAGAAGCTGGAGAAACAGTTGTCATTGAAGAACTTCTTGAAGGAGAAGAGGTGTCTGTACGTATATTCCTCTTTTTTGGCTTTTAGAGCATATAAGAAGCTATGTTATCTGACTTATGAGCCACCCTAAAGACTTGATTTACTCCATCAGTTACTAAGAAATTTGTATGTATTCATATTTTGAATGCATAAGATAAAAGAACTTAACCTTTCTTAATCATCTCTCCTGTACAGGCAGGGTACATTGACTTATACCATACATTATTGAGGGTCTAGATTAATCCAAACATTCATGCTTTTTGTTTGACATTTTTTCTTTTACTTTTTGTTTTACTTTTGTGATTTGGGTGAAAATTTACAGAGCAAATTCATTTTTCCATACAGCACATGATACACATTTTGTTTCATGTCGTTGATTACAAGTTCCCCACTGTATAGCAGCTCTCTTCCCACTTTCTCCCAGTAGTTACCTCTTCCCTGTGTCTTTCCCTTCCGTACACTCCTGTCCCCCCAGCTATCTCCCTGTGCAAACACTGCCCTTCTGTTCTCTCAAGATTTGATCACTCTAAGGAGTATATCTAACTCACTGCCGTCAAGTCGAGCCCGACTCATAGCAACCACTCCTTGGGTTTCCAAAGTGTTATCACTACGGAAATAGATCGCCCAGCCTTCCTTCTGAGGAGTGGCTGGTGGGTTTGAACTGCCAGCCCTCTGGTTAACAGTCACATTCCTTAGGCACTGTGCTGCCAGAGCTCCTAAGGAGTGTATGTACCTGATGTAAATGTTCACCCTATATGCCTGTCTGTTGTTTGGCTGGAAGCAACAGGAGTGAGTTCAGTTCCAGACCTGAAGGGTATCTAGGAGCCAGGCTCTATCAGACCAGTAAACCTGGTCTTTTTTTATGATTTTGAGTTTTGTTCAACATTGTTCTCCCACTCTATCCAGGATCTCCTACACTGATCCCTTTCTGAATGGTTGACAGTGGTATCTAGATACCATCTAGCTCTTCTGGTCTCATGGTCATATTGGCTGAGGACCGCATGGTCTACTAGTCCCTTTGACAAATTGTTTCCATTCATCTTTAGTTTTCTTCATTTTTCTTTGCTCTGGACAAGGAAAGACCCATTGTTGCATCTTGATGGCCACTTGCAAGCTTTTAAGACCCCAGTCACTGCTCACCAAAGATGTAGAACAGTGCTTTTGTATAGTATGTTATGTCAGTTGAGTTGGATGATCCTGAGCCCATGGGTCCAACTACTTGCTCCCTCAGGGTTGTTGGCTGTAGCCAAGAAGCTATCATAACTTTGCCCCTTGTTGGCTCTATAATCTATTTGGACGTTCTTCCAGCGCATACAGATATGTCCGTACAGGCATAAGGCCTAAGGCATTTGACTACTGACCAGAGGGCTAGTGGCTCAAAACCACCAGCCACTCCTCGGAAGGAAGATTGGGCAGTCTATTTCCATAGCGATACTGCCTCTAAGGGAGGGAGTTCACTGTAAGTCAGATCTGACTCGACAGCAATGAGTTTGGGGTTTTTGGTTTAACCTTATATATGGTCATTGGTATATTCCCTTTTGCCTAGACGTACCTGACCTTTCACCCTGTCTACCCATCTATTTACCCATAGATTAATGTTTGTTATCACTAACAACACAGTATATGTAATCACGTAGTTTCTTACGTAGTGAATAGTTGAATACAGTCATCATAAATAAAATTTTGATGCCAAGAAGCTTAAAATTGAAATGTTTTATTTTGAGAGTAGCTTGATTTTTCCTTACCCTAGCTGAAAAATTACAGATACTTCATAAGTCAAATATATAAGATCCCTGGTTCTTGATATGTGTCACTTAGGGTTATTTTTTTAAATTCATTGTACTTCAAATAAAAAAACTCTTCCTCTAGGAATAGGTAAGGTCTATGTAATTTACATTAGTAAATTACTTTTTTACTTTCCTGGCCCTTAACATAAGTGAACTGTTTTGTTTTTTCTGTAGTGTCTGTGTTTCACTGATGGACGAACTGTGGCCCCCATGCCCCCAGCACAAGACCATAAGCGATTGCTGGAGGGAGATCTCGGCCCCAACACAGGAGGCATGGGAGCCTATTGTCCAACACCACAGGTACATCTCAGAGGCCCCAGCTGGAGTTCAGTAATAATTGATCTTCTCAAAGAGCACATAGTTCATCCTTTTCTTCCTGGGGTTTTTGTTTTGTTTTATTTTGTTTTTCCTGCACATTATGTTGGTAATCAACAGGTTCGTTTTTCTATTAAATGGAAAATATCTCTTCTGGTCTTATTTCATGGGGAATCACTGTTGTGGTTAGTGACCATGACTCTACAACTCTCCTTTTCTGAAAGCCTTTGAAGAACTAAGCCAATTAAATAGATCCTCCCAACCCTTTTTTCCTACCCTTTTTCCTTTTTAATCCATGGGAGGTTAGTACAGTCTAGAATTATCTTTTATTCATCTTTAGATAATCGGGGCCCAGGACATAAGTTTTCAGTAAGTGTGTGACTTTAATATAAATTATCTATGAGTTGAACTTTGAGAATTAAATTTATGTGCTCAAATTTGTAAATATACTTGTGTGTGAACTGTGCATAGAATGTGTACTGGATGGATTACAAAGGATCCTCAGGGTCAGAGAAGTCTTTTTTTCCCCGCATTATTACACGTCAGGAAACTATTTTGAGTGAGCTTTTTTTAAGGTTGTATGCTTTTGAAAATCTGTAGGTTTAATGGTAAGAGGTGAGTTAACAGCTTACTCCTGAAATGGAGGCTGTCACTATTTTTGGTTGACATAAACATATAATAAGTATATAATTTAGTAAACATAACATTCAGATTCTGCTTGCTAATTTACCACCGCCAAAATTAATCCAAATCCACTGCCATCAAGTTAATTCCAACTCACAGTGACTCCCATTGGGTTTCTAAGGTGGAAAATCTACAGAAGTAGCTTGCCCCATCTTCTCTCTGCAGAGCACCAGGTGGGTTTGAACAGCCAGCCTTCTGGTTAGCAGTCAAATGCCTTAGGCACTGTGCCCCCAGAGCTCCTTTCCCAGAGAACTTACTACTTAAAAAATTTTAATTGTATTTGGTAAGGTATTGAGGAAATAGTAAGAAAAGGAAAGGGTGTATGTGTACCCATATGTGTGTACAAATAGGCACTAGAGGCATGGAGAAAGTAGTGCTGCCATTTACTAGCTGTAAGTCCTTTAAATATGGAGAATGTTTTACCTCTCAAAGCTCTTTTCTGTCTAGAAAAATAATGATAGGGTCAGTGTGAGGATTTTAAAAGTTTATGGATATGAATGCTCAGCCCATTTTAGGTAGTCAATAAATGATAGTTCTCATCTTCCCCTTTCATGTTCCAGGTGGTTCTGCTTAAAATGAATTTTGTCTTTAATATTGATTGCATTTACATATTTCTGTATATTCACAGGTTTCTAAGGATTTGTTACTAACAATTAAAAATACCATTCTTCAGAGAACAGTGGATGGCATGCATAAAGAGGGTACTCCGTACACAGGTAAGCACTTTGATATTATGGACATTATTTATAGAGTAACTTTATAACTTAGGCAAAACTGCTTTTCTACCTTCGGTTTTCACCACCTTATAACTGACCATTATAAAATTTGTTATGTTTATGCTAGAACTTTAAGTGTTAGAAGTTTATGTTCTAGACTTCATAGTCCCGAAACAATGTCTTCATTATAGATTTCCTTTTTTTTTAAATGAAGGTATTTTGTATGCTGGTATAATGCTGACCAAGTATGGGCCAAAAGTTCTGGAGTTTAATTGCCGTTTTGGTGACCCAGAGTGCCAAGTGGGTAACATTAATATTATTGTTTTTATAAATAAACATAAAATAATAAAGTGTTAATTTGTAGGAGACCTGTGTTGTTTTTTTATTTCAGGATATATCATCCTAGAAATAATCACCTTTGGAAAATATATGCAAATTCTGCTTGTATCCCAGTGAATGGAATATCTAAGGAAAATTAAAATTTATCTCAATTGCTCTGTTGATTGTGTTTGTCCAGGTAATCCTCCCACTTCTTAAAAGTGATCTTTATGAAGTTATCCAGTCCACCTTAGATGGCCTTCTCTGCACAGCTTTGCCCATTTGGCTGGAAAACTGCACTGCCATCACTGTTGTCATGGCAAGTAAAGGCTATCCTGGAGACTACACCAAGGGTGTGGAGATCACAGGTGAATATCATTGAGCAAGAAGGTGACTGACAGTATGACAAATGACCAGTGCCACCTTAGGTTCCCTGCCCATGCTAACACCCTGCACCTTTTTAATTGTATGAAACCATTCAGAACCTTTCAGGAGTCCTTAGCCACATTGCTTATTGGATGTATGGGTTCAAATATCTGAAATTACTGTGTTTGAAGAGCTGCCATCCATTTACCTTCCTGTACAAGGAGACCTAAGTGAGCCTCAACAAAGTTCCAGAAAATCACCTAGTATGGATTTTTACTTCCACCCACCCAGTGCAAGGGAAATAATGGCAAGGTATAAGGGTCAGAGGAACATTAATGTTAACTTTATCACTAAAGTACATTTTATAGGTATAATCTCTGAATGAGCACAGATATATATAACCTGTGATTTGACTCCCCCAGTTTGCAATGCACCCAGTAGTCCATGGTGGTTGTGTGCTGTTGACTTCATCAACTCATAGTGACTATGCAGGACAGGGTACAACTACCTCATAGAGTTTCCTAGGCTGTAATCTTTGCAGGAGCAGATCGCCAATTCTTTTCTACCACAGAGGGGCTGGTGCATTTGAACCACTCTCTTAGTTTGCAGCCAAGTGCTTAAACTGTTGAACAACCAAGGCTTTTCAAAAGTATAGTCTTCTCTTTACAGAAAATAAAGAATCTTGTTAAATGATATTTTAAAATGCCAGTTCAATTCCAGTTTCCAAAGCAGACTTTTATGACCCTTGACCAGGCTATAGTTTGACATTCTCAGTACCCAGCAAACACTTTATTTACTATCTAACCCAGCCATCAAGTCCGTTATCCTTTCAACATGTGGAAACTGGACAGTTAAAAAAGTGAACAAAGGAAAAAAGATAAAGCTAGTATCTCATATTAGTGAAATGTGAGGTTGAGACAAGTGTAACAGCCATTACCAGCTTAACAAACCTTTTTGAATTTTTTTTAAGAAAATTATCAAAAACATCATGCTACCAAATATGGTATAGAAAATGGGAGAAAAAAACTAATGATACAAAGAAAATTTTTTGTTTTTTATTTTAATTACAAGAGGCACTATCTACTCTGATCATTTAAAAATCTGGAAATACAAAATTTTACCTGAGAGCTTAAAAATAATTTTTAAAAAAATAAAGCCAGGGATTTTTAAACTGAGCCTCAAACTTAAATTTGTCTTACAATTTTACAGTTGACATATTAAGGATTATTTAAGAATGTTTTATGAATGATATTTCAATAAAATGTATTTTAAAAATAACCAAAAAAAAGTTTTATAGTACACTGACCCTGTTATTAAAAAAAAAGAAAGCAGCTTTACTTGGTGGTAGTGGTTTTTAGGTGCCATGGAGTCAGCTCCAACCATATGTACAACAGAAGGAAACATTGCCCACTTTGGCACAATCCTCACTATCTTTGCTGTATTTGAGCCTATTGCCGCAGCCACTGTTTATCAATCCATCTTGATGATCATCCTCTTTTTATTTGACCCTCTACCATGTACGATATCCTTCTCCAAGGACTGGTACCTTCTGACAGCGTGACCAAAGTATGTGAGACAAAGTCTAGCTATTCTTTCCTTTAAGTAGCATTCTGGCTTCTTAGGAAACCAGGACAGATTTGGTTATTGTTCAGGCAGTCAAGGTATTTTTAGTGTTCTTCTCCAGCACCACAATTAAAATGTATCAGTTCTTCTTTGATCTTCCATATCCATTGTCCAGCTTTCATATACATATGAGGTTATTAAAAAATAATAGGTCAAGTACACCTTAGTCTTCAAAGTGACCTCTTTTCTTTTTAACACTTTAAAGATCTTTTGCAGCAGGTTTGCTCAGTGCAGTACAACATCTGATTTCTTGACTGCTGCTTCCATGGGTGTTGATTGTGGATCCAAATAAAATTAAATCCGTGACAACTTCAATTTTTTCTTCATTCATAGTGATGTTGCTTATTGGTCCAATTGTGACAATTTTTGTTTTCTTGATATTGAGGTGTAATCCACACTGAAAGCTGTATGTAGTCTTTGATCATCATCAGTAAGTTCTTCAAGTCGTCTTCACTTTCAACAAACAAGCTTTTGTCATCTGCATATCACAGTTTGTTAATGAGTCATCTTCTAATCCTGATGTGGAATATCTTATTCATATAGTCCAGCTTTTTGGATTATTTGCTCAGCATTACAGATTGAATAAGTGCAGTGTAGGAATACATCCCTGATGCACACCTTTCCTGATTTTAAAATGCATATCCTTTTGCTCTGATCAAAGGACTGCCTCTTGGTCTGTGTACAGATTCCTCATGAGCATGATTAAGTGTTCTGAGATTCCCATTCTTCAGAATATTATCCCCAATTTGTTATGATCCACATAGTCAAATGCATTTAAATAGTCAAAAGAATCACAGGTAAATGTTTTTCTGGCATTCTTTCAGCCAAAGAATTTTTTACTTTATTCAAGTATTCTTTACCAGAATAGCTACGATTAACAAAAAAAAAAAAAAAAAGAATAATTCTCTTACTCTTAAGTGAAAAGTAGATGTCCTCAAATGCTTTATACCTATATATAGAAAGTTTTTTTTTTTAAGTTTTAGGTTTTTAGGAAAAAATAACTGTTTTCAAATCTTGACCTTTCTAGACCTTAATTTCTTCATTTTAGTCCCTCACGCAAACAATGTTTATTTATGAGATTTGTGATAACCCATATTTGTAGGAACGTGGTTATCCTCCTAAAGCTGTATAGAGGAAAAAGGATCTATTTTATTTGCTAATGATTACATTAATTCCATGAGCTCTGGTGCTAAGTTGTTAAACATTTGGCTGCTGACAGATCAGTAATTTGATCCGACCAGCTACACCCTATGGATCCGTTTGCTCTGTCCTGTGGGTCTCTATGCAGTGGACTTGATTTTAGTTTTATGTTAATTCCTGCCTGGTAAGATTCTTTTAAGGATGGGTTTAAATCAAATAAAGGATTAAAAAAGGAACTTGTGAAAATGGAAAATCACTTTGCAAGTATAAAATACGATTTTGGGTAATAGGTCAAATGTGCTCTCTTACAGGGTTTCCTGAAGCTCAAGCATTAGGACTGGAGGTATTCCAAGCAGGCACTGCTCTGAAAGATGGCAAAGTGGTGACTAATGGGGGTAGAGTCCTTACAGTAACAGCCGTACGGGAAAATCTTCTGTTAGCACTTGAACAAGCCAAGAAGGGACTGGCTGCTATAAACTTTGAGGGAGCCATTTATAGGAAAGATATTGGCTATCGTGCCATAGCCTTCCTTCAGCAGCCCAGGTAAAATTCTAGCACAGTTTAAGAGCTGGACTAAATGGCCATGTATAAAATTCCATTGCCCCTATACTACCATATTCTGTATTCTTTCCTCTCTACAATTGATGTAATCTTCAGGTTGTATTTAGTTTGAACTACAACTGGTCATAGTGTTCAATGAAATGGAAAGTTTTATGGTGGCTCCTTATGTGTGAAAGTTTAGTTATTAAAGATTTTTATTCTTCCAGTTTTCATGTACTTGAATATTGATATATTTAAGTTACATTGATTCATTTATCGGTATGTACAGTTATTGCCTTGGAAAAAAATCAATAAACTGTCAAGTACAAATATGAGTGTTTGATTTTTTTTTTTAAGTATGTATACTTAATAAGGATCTCTGGTGGTACAGTGCCTGAGGCATTTGACGGCTAAACAAAAGGTTGATGGTTCAAATGCATCAGCTGCTCTGCAGAAGAAAGATGAGGCAGTCTACTTCGATAAAGATTTACCACGTTGGAACCCAGTAGGGTTCACTTTGAGTCAGAATCACTTAATAGCAATGGGTTTTGGTTTCTGTATCCTTAATAGTGTTCATTAAGTAAATTGATGGGTAATGAACATCGTATTAGGGAGAAATGAGACATTTCCAGTGACTTAATTCAAGCTATACTGTTACTGAGTGGCAAAATATTTAAGTTTAAGCCCTAGAATAATTTTAGAATCAAGAACATAAAAATCGTTATAAAAATTTACTTTTCATGTTAAAATGACTAGATTCCACTGAAATGACCTGTTTTAAGAGAATGCAATCATAATTGTAGTCTTTAAGGTAAACTTAGAGATGAAGAAAGTAAAAAGGCATAAATGGCAGTTATTACCAGTAGGTTATTGCCAGTTTCCTATCTAAAAGTGCCCCTGGGCTACTAACTTTCTCAAAGTTAACTGCCTAAGCTCTCAATTCCAGTTGTACCCTGGTAGCTTTTTCCTAATAAAACGTCAAATATTTATTAATTTACCACTTCATCCAAATCAGCCTAAATTGTTATTTTGTAAGACCAGATTATTGAATTCACAGTGCTGTTGAACTTAATCCCTGAATGTTCCATTGCAGTGTGATGACCCTGAGTATCAGTAGCTGCTTATCTTGTTTTCATCACCTATAAGGAAACCCAGAATTATCATCATTATAATAAGAGCTCAGTTTGAGTGTTTAGAAATTTATTTGTAGAGTTCTCATAATCCTAATATTGCATTGATTATGGTACTATTTCCCATATAAAAATTGAGCGGATAGACACCTGTGAGAAGTGCTTTTGGAAGAAATAGTTAAGTTAGAACAGTGGTTTTCAATGGAGATAATAACATTAGAATCAACTGGAAAGAATTTTTCAACAGATTTCAGATCCCAGAACCTACCCTTAGGCCAATTAAATCAGAATCTTTACTTAGGTTTTTAGACCAGTTAAATCAGAATCTTTTTTTTTCTTTTGGTTTTTTTATTGTGATTTTTGGGTGAAATTTTCTACACAGCAGCTCATACACACTTGGTCTCTTGACATTGACTACAATTCACAATGCAATAGCTCCCTATTTCCTCCCCATAGTTAAGGATTTTAATTTTTGAACACCTAATTAATTTGAAAAACACTTAGGATTTCTGATTAACTAATTTTTTTAAATTAATTTTCCCTGACATTTATGTAATAATGTTTTTCTTTTGTTTTTTGTTTCTTTCATTCTTCAGGGGTCTGACTTACAAGGAAACTGGGGTAGATATTGCAGCTGGAAATATGCTGGTCAAGAAAATTAAGCCTTTAGCAAGAGCCACTTCCAGACCAGGTAAACCAGATCCTGACTTTCCTAATTCATGAAATTTGACAGTGAATTAACTTAGGCTTTATATTTAATTGAAGGAAATGTTCCAAATTAATGCCAAATGACTATGATATCTTACCTTAGTAAGGCAAATCCTAGTCTTCCTTTCTTGTCTGTAGTATTAAGAGAAGCATTTCTTTTCTATCATGTTAAATTCAAAAGGATATATATGTCCCTTTCATATTTCGATACTTTCTTGATCATTTAAGTACATGGTATTTTCTTAGCCATTCTTAGGAAAGGCATCTTTTGTTGTAGCCATTTTTATGAACTATTATATTGTTGTTTAACTCATCTGCTAAAATGTATTAAGTAATTAATTTCCTCATCAACAGGCTGTGAAGTTGATCTTGGAGGTTTTGCTGGTCTTTTTGATTTGAAAGCAGCTGGTTTCAAAGATCCTCTTCTGGCCTCTGGAACAGATGGTGTTGGGACTAAACTGAAGGTAATCAAACACCTTTGTGAAAGATACGAGAGAACTTCCTGTATATCATATACATGTTTTTCCCCTTTTGACAGATAATAATGAGCTAAAAAGAGCCATACCAAATAACTCTATAATATGGCTAGAATGTGTGTACATTTCTGATATTACAGTATTGAGGCTACGTTGGAATGGTATTTTAAGGGATAAAAAGATATGCTTCTGGAGCCAAGTAAAGTACTGGTATTTAGTGGTCTTTTAGAACTTCCTGGATAGCCCAAACAGTTAAGCACTTGGCCATTAACTGAAGGGTTGGCTATTTGAACCTATCCAGAGTACCTTGGAAGAAAGGCCTGATGATCTGATTCTGAAACATCGCAGCCATGAAGACTTGTTGGAGTACACTTCTACCGTGCAATATATGGGGTCACCATGAGTCATAATGCATTTACAACTGGTTTTGTTTTTCATGTTCATTTGTCTTTATGTATTAAAGCTGCTAGCCAAAAGTCAGTAGGGTTTGTTACAATGGTGACTGTTAGCCTCCTATTAAAAAAATGGGCATGATACGATTTGTAGCTTATTCTATTATGTGGCTGTTTATATTTTTTATATAGATTGCTCAGCTGTGCAATAAGCATGATACCATTGGTCAAGATTTGGTTGCAATGTGTGTAAATGATATTCTGGCACAAGGAGCAGAGCCCCTCTTCTTCCTTGACTATTTTGCCTGTGGAAAACTCGACCTCAATACAACGGAAGCTGTTGTTGCTGGTATCGCCAAAGCTTGTGGAAAAGCTGGATGTGCTCTCCTTGGTATTATCATCCATTTTAATCACATAGCCTTTTTTTCATGTATTTTAGCATAGACATAATTAGTACCAACATAACTAGCAGCAGAGACTATACATCACAAGATGAGGCAGGTAAAATATAAGTGATATTATCTGAAGAAAACTTAAACTCTGGTGCACTCAAACCCACGAATGTGACTCTCAGATCTATACCTCTAAGCTGTCAGGCAGCCTTATCTTTTCTCTAATCTTTGGCCTTCTTTCCCATCACCATCTTTCTTGGCAGATCCCTCAACAGCCAAGCCTAAGGACTGTTTACTCGCTTGCAGCAAAGGCATGTTTTCCCAAAGAAGTGACATTAAGAATAAATTGTACTCAAGCTTTATAGAGAAATATTGCTTTAATACATAAGACGGTTTTGAATGAAATGAATGTGTTGGTTATCCAAGGAACTGAACTACCCCCTTTTTTTTTTGGTTTGAAAATATATATACCAATTCAACAATTTGAACATAGCAGTGTCAATCCAGTGACATTGATTACATTCTTAACATTGTGCAGCCATTCTCACCTTCCTTTTCAGAGTTGTTCTTCCCAATTAACAAAAAGTTAAAAAAAAAAACTCATTGCTGTCTAGTGGATTCCATCTCATGGGGACCCCCATTGGGTTTCCAAGGCTATAAATCTTTAGAGAAGTAGATTGCCCCATCTTCCTTCCATGGAACGGCTGGTGGGTTTGAACCACTGACCTGATTAGCACCCAAGTGTCTTATCTGCTACGCCACCAGAGCTCCTTAAACAAAAACTCACAATCCCTTAAATATCCTATCTAATCTTTCAAGTTCGTATTATCAATTTGATCCCATATAGGTGGGAACACTTATTTTATATTACCATTTCTGTGGACAGGTCTGTCCCAGAGCCATAAATTGCCTTCTCAGCCATCTTTAGAACATTTTCTATTTTGGAGTCTGCCTACCTATACCCATATCTTTAGATCATTTTTCTATGCCTATGCTATCATCTGGAAATGGGTATGATTGTAAAGATCAAATATGTATGAAAGCATTTCTAAAATTAAATTTACTATACAAATGGTGTTATGTTCAACTGAGCATTTCTCCCATTGAATAATGAGGATTGGCAGCTATATATATACTTGGAGACATTTCACCTTAATCTCAACCTTTGTGGAAATTCCTCTGAAATTAAGCTGTTAGGCAGGTGATAGTCAATTTTATTGGATGTTTTAAGAATATAGCCACATGTTGGACTGTTCATGTTAAGAGTAGCTGATGTCACTATTTCCTAGGCAGATTTATAAATACTTATAAACATAATTTCTCTGTTCTTGTCTGATCCATTTAACAGGAGGTGAAACAGCTGAAATGCCTGACATGTATCCTCCTGGAGAGTATGACCTGGCCGGTTTTGCCGTCGGTGCCATGGAGAGGGATCAGAAACTTCCTCACGTAGACAGAATCATGGAAGGGGATATGGTTATTGGCATAGCTTCATCTGGTCTCCACAGCAATGGATTTAGCCTTGTAAGGAAAATTGTAGAAAAATCTTCCCTCCAATACTCCTCTCCAGCACCTTATGGTTGTGGTGACCAGACTTTAGGTAAACATACATTTAAACTCTGCTGCTTGAACACGTCTAAGCAATAACTTGGTGGGGTTAGTCTCTGGTTATTTAAAGCTAGAATGGAATAAATTATCCTAATTTTGCTGCTTATTATAGAACTAGTGTTTCTGTGGAAGAATGTCTCCACTTCAAAATTGTTTTATATGCTTTTGTCTTATCTTTGCAGGCTAACTTTCTGTCTCATCTCTCCCATGAACAGGGCAATTACTTCTAACCCCAACCAGAATTTACAGCCAGACACTGTTACCTGTCCTACGTTCAGGACATGTCAAGGCCTTTGCCCATATTACTGGAGGAGGATTGCTAGAAAACATTCCCAGAGTCCTGCCTCATAAATTTGGAGTGGATTTAGGTAAGTTCTCTAGAACAGACTTTTGTTCAGAAAACTGTTGGGGGGAAAAATGCATTGTGGGTGAGAACTCTTTGGGTGGTTAATGCACATAGCTTATATCTAGAAAATTCTTAATGGTTGGAATTTGTTGTAGGGGATAGAGCTATCCTTTTTCTAACTTTTTTAATCTCAGTAATCTTTTTTTTTTTTTTTTTCTTGTGGTTTGGGCAAAAGTTTAAAGAGCAAATTCATTTCCCATACAGCAGTTCTTACACATTTAGTTTCATGACATTGACTGCAATCCCCACAGTGTAACTGCTCTCTTCCCACTTCCTCTGTGTTCTTATTCCTGTGTTCTTCTTTCCTGTACCCTCTGAGCTATCTCCCTGTGCAAGTACTGCCCTGTCCTTCTGTTCTCCCATGATTGATCATTCTAAGGAGAACCTGGTGTAAATGTTCACCCTATATGCCTGTTTATTCTCTGGCTGGAAGACATAGGAGTGAGTTCAATTCCAGACCTGAAGGGTAACTAGGGACTGTAGCCGTAAGGGTCTCACCAGGCTCTATCAGACCAGTAAACCTGGTCTTTATGATTATCAGTTTTATTCCACATTGTTCTTCCACGCTATCCAGGATCTCCTGGACTGATCCCTTTCCGAGTGGTTGACAGCAGTAGCCAGGCACCATCTAATTTTTCCAGTCTCATGGTCATATAGGCTGAGGTTTGATTGGTCCACTAGTCTCTTGGACTGATTGTTTCCATGTGTCTTTGGTCTTCATTCTTCTTTCTCTGGAAGAGAAAAGACCCCTGTTGCATCTTAGATGGCTGCTTGCAAGCTTTTATGACCCCAGTCTCTACTCACCAAAGGATGTAGGATGTAGAACAGTGTTATATGTACTATGTCATATCAGTTGAGCTTGATGTCCCCCACAACCATGGTCCCAAATCCACAGGTCTAACTATTTTTTTGCTTTATTATCCATATTTATAAGGCATAAAAACCTTTCATGTAATTGATTTCCTTGCAGATGAAGTACTATATGCACATCCTTCAGAGGGATTTGAAACTCTGTCATGATGGAACCCTATGTGCCATTTGGAGAAATGGTAGCTAATAAATAGTCTATGTAGGGAGGTAAAGAGTACCTGAGCCGAGGCAAGAGAAGCCCTGATGGCGCTGTGGTTAAAGCATTTGGCTGCTAGCCAAAAGCTGAACAGTTTGAACACACCAGCCACTCCATGGGAAAAAAATGAGTCAGTCTAATTCCATAAAGATTAACAGCCTTGGAAGCCTTATCAGACAATTCTACTCTGTCCTGTAGGATAGCTGTGAGTCACAATTGACTCAGTAGCAGTAGATTTTTTGAGCCATGGTATAGAGAATAGATATATTTGGGAATCATTGCATGCTTAGACATGAGTGACAAGGAAAGATACCCAAGTATCTGGTTAAGCAAGTGAGTAGGTGGTAATATCCATAACACAGGAGAAGAGTAGGCTTAGAGCAGTAAGTGAGAATACAGTTTTTTTTTTAAAATCTTCAGTTCTTTATTCCAAGGTGTCTATAACCAAAAATTGAGATCAAGCTAAAGATAACTTAGAATGTCATATACACGTAGTAACAGTTATACCCAAGAGAGCAGAGGGGACTAAAACATTATTCTTTGGTAGTCTATCAACATTAAGGGTTAATGAAAGGTAGAACTACTGAAAAGAACAGTCAGCAGGGGGTAAACCATGCAAAGTACCATCATTAAGTCTTAGGGAGGATTTCAAGGTGACACAGGTCAGCATTGTTAGGTGCAAAATAAATATAAAGATTAGGACCAGAAAGAGACCAGTGTATTTCTCTTACCTCAGAAAGCAGTCTGGTTAGAAGTAGATCCCACCCACTGCATTACTGTGGAGAACACATCTAACAGACATGTAGAGAGGGTGAGTATAGAGGGTCCTATTTTAAGAAACTTAGTGGTGAAAAGGAAAAGGGAATTGTGATTTAAGCACATGGCAAAACTAAGGGACAGAGCTTCCGCCACCAGTTTTTATGGGACAGAGAGACAAAGCCTGAGGAATTCTTTACCTATCACAATCAACCTGTTGGCTTAAAAAAGTAGAAACTGAGGAAATTGAGATAAAATAACTTGTCTCCCTAAGATAGTAAGAGCTCAGTGAACAGAGCAGACCTGGAGTGGGGCATAAAGACAGGTGTCATGAATAGAGCAATCAGTGTCAGAAACAAGAATGAGACAACAGCACTGGTCACAGTGCAAGATGAAGGTGTTTATGTGTGTTTTCTTCCAAAGAGTATCTTTGAGGAAGGAACAGAAACAAAAATGGATTGATTGGATTGATCCGCTTGGGTTGTATAGATGTAAGGGTCAGTCACAGGGAGAGAAGCAATTATGGGTGAGGTAGGTAGATTTAAATGGCATAACCTTAGAGTCATAGAGTATATGAAGCTAGGAAAGTAAGAAATAGGTTATGTAGAGTGAGGAACAAGCAAGGTAAGCTAGGAGAGTGGGCAGATGAGATCTCAGCCTAGCTGGGAGAGCAGAAGAGACACGCTGCACTGAATGGGAGTCCTTTCTAGATCTGTGGAATGAGCATAGTAAAGTGGTAAAGGACACATACCAAAAACCAAACCAAACTCATAGTCGTCAAGTCTGCTCCAACTCATAGCGACCCCTCCTCGGGTTTCCTAGGTAATATCTCTACGGATACCTTATGAATAGCAGAGAAACATAGTCTGATACATTACTGGGCAACTTTATGAATAGCCCAGAAACACTGTCCAATACAGTGCAGGAAGACGAGCCCCTTAGGTCGGAAGGCTCTCAAAATACAACTGGGAAAGAGCTGCCTCATCAGAGTAGAATTAACTTTAATGACGTGGATAAAAAAAAGCTTTTGAGACCTCTATTTGCTGACATGGTATGACTCAAATTGAGGGGAAACAATTGCAAACATCCATTAATAATCAGAACTTGAATGTCAAAGTATGAATCTAGGAAAATTGGAAGTTGTCAAAAATGAGACAGAATGCATAAAGATTGATACCATAGGCATTAAGATAGGACTGGTTTTGGCCATTTTGAATCAGACAATCCATATGATCTATTATGCTGGGAATGACAATTTGAAGATGAATGGCATGGCATTCATCATCACAAAGAAGTTTCAAGATCTGTCCTGAAGTACAATGCTGTCAGTAATAGGATAATATCCATACACCTACCAGGAAGACCAGTTAATACTACTATTATTCAAATTTACACACCAACCACCAAAGCCAAAAATTAGGAAATTGAAGATTTTTATCAACTTCTGCAGTCTGAAATTGACCGAACATGCAATCAAGATGTGTTAATTATCACTGGTGACTGGAATACAAAAGTTGGAAACAAAGAGAATCATCAGTAGTTGGAAAATTTGGCCTTGGTGACAGAAATAACACTGGAGATCACATGATAGAATTTTGCAAGACCAGTAACTTATTCATTGCAAATACCTTTTTTCAACAACACAAATGGCAGCTGGACACGTGGACTTCACCAGGTAGAATACACAGGAATCAAGATTGACTACATCTGTGGCAAGAGGCAATGGAAAAGCTCAGTAGCTTCAGCCAAAACCAGGCTAGGAGTTGATTGTGGAACAGACCATCAATTGTTCAGATGCAAGTTCAACTTGAAGTTGTAAACAATTAAAACAAGTCCACAAGAGCCAAATATGACCTTGAATATATCCCTTCTGAATTTAGAGACCATGTAAATAGTAGAGTTGATGCATTGAACACCAGTGACCAAAAACCAGAGAAATTGAGGGGTGAAATCAAGAACATCATCCATGAAGAGAGTAAGAGGTCATTAAAAAGACAAGAAAGGAAGAAAAGACCAAAATGGATGACAGAAAAGACTCTGAAACTTGCCCTTGAGTGGAGAGTACCTAAAGTCAGTGGAAGAAATGACAAGATAAAAGAGCTGAACAGAAGATTTCAAAGAGCAGCTCAAGCAGACAAAGCCAGTTACTCTAATGAAATGGGCAAAGACCTGGAGTTAGAGAACCAAAGGGGAAGAACCGCTCAGCAATTCCCAAACTGAAAGAACTGAGGAAAAAAGTTAAGCCTCGAGTTGCAATATTGAAAGATTCTATGGGCAAAATATTGAATGATACAGGAAGCATCAAAAGAAGATGGAAGGAATACACAGAGCCACTGGACCAAAAAGAACTGATCAGTCTTCATCCATTTCAGGAGGTAGCATATGTTCAAGAACCAGTGGTATTGAAGGAAGAAGTCAAAGCTGCATTCAAGGAATTAGCAAAGAACAAGGCTCCAGGAATAGATGGAATACCCATTGAGATACTTTTAAGAAACAGATGCCCCACTGGAGACACTCAGTTTTGCCAAGAGATTTGGAAGACAGCTTCCTGGTCAACTGACTGGAAGAGATCCATATCTGTCCCCATTCTAAAGAAAGGTGATCCCATAGAATGTGGAAATTATCAAACAATATCATTAATATCGCATGTAAGTAAAATCTTACTGAAGATAATTCAAAAACAGCTGCAACAGTATATTGATAGAGAATGTCAAGAAATGCAAGCTGGCTTCAGAAGAGGATGAGGAACGAAGGGATATCACTGCTGATGTCAGATGGATCTTGGCTGGAAGCAAAGAATACCAGAAGTTTACTTGTGTTTTATTGACTATGTAAGAGCATTTGATTTTGTGGATCATAAAAAATTGTGTATAGCATCGAGAAGAACTGAAATTCCAGAACACTTAATTGTACTCATGAGGAACCTGTACATAAACCAGGAGACTGTCGTTCAGACAGAACAAGGGGACGTTGCATGGTTTAAAATCAAGAAGGGAGTGCATCAGGGTTATATCCTTTCATATATACTTATTCAGAATACTTATTCAGTCTGTATGCTGAGCAAATAATCCAAGAAGCTGGACTGTATGAAGAAGAACATGGCATCAGGATTGGCAGAAGAATCATTAACAACCTGTGAT